AGATTGCGTATGCGCAGCCTGTACACCGTCGGCAAGTGATCCGGTCAGTTCGCCACTGATTTTCGAGGACTCGACGGCGTGGTCAAGACTTGAGGAGCTTGACCCGCTCACGAGAGAGGACTTCGCCTGGATGCCTCTACCCTCGACCGGAACCTTGCCAAGGCCGCATTGCAACGCCTTGATGGCAAATCTACGCTTCTACTTGCACACTACAGTACCAGCTACGTTGACGGACGACGGGGTAGCGGTTGCCGATCTCCGCTCTTATCTTGCGAAGATCGACCGCGAGCACGCCACCCAAAGATACGCCGAAACCGACGCACCTTTGCTCTATATCCGCATTCAAATCGGAAAGGCAACCTGTAGTGCCTTGATTGATTGCGGAGCGTCTCGCAACTTCATGAGTGAAGCCTTTATGGCCCGCGCAGGTCTTGGCCCGCGCGTTCGAAGAAAGACGCAACCTACGCAAGTTACACTCGCGAATGGCCGCACGCAAAAGTCAATTGACCGATGCGTTGACGGCGTTCCRGTCTACTTTGCGCCACTTGCGTGCGAGCCGGTGTCTTTTGACATCCTCAACACCAAGTTCGACATGATTCTAGGCATGTCTTGGTTGCGTAGCGCCGATCATCCGGTGAACTTCCATGACCGAACCGTTCACACCCGTGATCGGAACCGAGTGTTAGTCCCATGTACGGTCGCGACCCCTCACACTTCGATTACTTGTCACGTGGTTTCCGTTGTGAGAATTCGCGACACCATTGCTCGGAATGACATCGAGGAGATGGGCCTTGTATTCTTGCATGCTCTCCCCTCGACGGACGGACCAGCCGCGTCACCGCCAGACCCACGCATTCCTCACCTCTTGGACGAGTATAAAGACGTCTTCGAGGCTCCCACCGGAACGGTTCCGSATCGGCCCATACGTCACGGGATCACTCTCGAGGTGGGCGCCGTCCCTCCTCGTGGATGTATCTACCGCATGAGCGAAGAGGAACTCGAAGTGCTTCGCGCACAACTCGATGACCTTCTCGACAAGGGTTGAATTCGCCCTGGTTGCTCGCCATACGGTGCACCTGTTCTCTTCGTCCGGAAGAAGAACAAAGATCTACGGTTATGCATCGACTATCGGAAACTTAACGCACAAACCGTAAAGAACGCCGGCCCTCTCCCTCGGATTGATGATCTCTTTGAGCGGTTAGGCGGCGCGACGTACTTCTCGAAGTTGGATCTAAAGTCAGGTTACCACCAGATTGAAATCCAGCCTCAAGAC